CTTTTTATCCCTGTGTGCACCAAACCCATCTTGAGTGTGTGTTGCTAAAAAGCTATTTTTTTAGTTACATCTGACTATAGAAGCCAGTCCCATTTGAAGTTCCAGTCGTGTCTGACAACAGAATATGCTGCTGTTGATTGGAAATTCTTAATTATTGCCCTGATGGTGGAAATGGGAATTTTCACTGCTCTAGCTCTTTTCTTAAAGTCACTTCACTAATTTGTGAAGCTCAATTATCTTTTGCTGCACATCAGAAATATATTCTTTGGTTTTTCTCATTGTGATGGATGATTAAGGGAATTTGGCCTTTGTTTTCCCTCCTGTTTATATTTCTGTGAAACAGGAAGCCATGGCTGGATAATTTCATGTTCATAATCACTCTGGTATGCTCAAAATTGTGAATATGAATGGGAATATATTTCACATTTTACTCATAAGAATTTCTAGGGGTACCAATAATTGTGTCCAACGTGTATTTGAGAAAAACATGTTTGTCATAATGATACTTCCCTCCATTTTAAATTCTTATCCAATGAAAGGTTTTTGTTTTTATGTGATATGTGAATTTTATTATTAAAAGATCAAAATGATTAGCAATGCAGATTTATTTTCACAGCCTTCTTTGATCATATTTACCAAGGGTGCCAATAATTCTGACCACGACTGTATATCGGTCTATCACTAAAAGTCTTGATTATCTCAAAAAACTCAAAGTGGCCAAATATCGGCCAATTTATCGGTCAATTGCTATGACATTTATTTAGCAGATGATTTATCAAACAAGATTTACTCAAAATTCACAATAAATTACTTATTTTAAAATACTCATAAAATATGTATTAACATATATTTAAAAATAAATAAAAATATATTTTATTATATTTTAAAGTTTTTTTATATTTGTTATAATATTAACAAGACTATTATTACATTTTGAACTCAAAACTGGACACTGCACAATAATTTGAGATTACCCAAAATTTCATGATATAAACTTCAAAATGCCAAAATATTGGATGAATTATCATCCTAGCAGATATATCAGTCTATCACTAAACGATATACATGATTATCTGCTGGAAACCTCAAAAATAGCCAAATATTGGTCAATTTATAGGTTAATCAGTGCTACATTTACTTATATATGTATACATTTAACAGTTACATTTATTTAAAGCAACTTACAAATGAGGAACACACGCAATTTATCATACATGAATGTGATTTTTATTTTTTTTTATTGATTTTTATTAATATTTACTCAAAATTCACTAAATAATAAAAATGTAATATCAAAATACCAACTATATATTACTAGTGCTGCCAAACGCTTAATCACATCCCAAAAAAGTTTTTGTTTACATAATATATGTGTGTACTGTGTATATTTATTATGTATATATAAATACACACACATACAGCATATATTTAGAAAATGTTTACATGTATACATTTATATTCATAATTTTTATTATATATATATATATATATTTAATATATAAACGCAACATTTTTTTCTTAAATATATACATGCAGTTTGTTTGCATAATGTGTGTGTACTGTGTATATATTTATATATACACAGTACACACACATTATGCAAACAAAAACTTTATTTTGGATGTGATTAATCGTTTGACAGCACTATATATTACATTATATTTTTATTTTTATAAATATGTATTACATTATTTAAATAAACAAAAATATAAATATATATTTTAATAGTCTTTTAAACATTTTATAATATTACTAGACTGCAATTACAATTTGAACTCAAAACTGGACATGGTACAATAATTTAAGATAACACTCAATTACATGCTTGAAACCTCAAAAGGGCAAAGTATCGGAAGATTTATCAAAGCCTTTGTTTATTGCCTGATAAACTCAAAATGGCCAAGTATAGGTAATCACTAGAATCATGCAAACTTTTGATGACAGTTGCTCCAATCATCATAAAATATTTTACCTGACACTTCTCTTAACTTCTCATGTTGAATAACTCAAATGCTAAAGTATGTTTCTCACCTTACACTCTTGTGTGGCCTCTTCTATAGCGCTGCATTCGTGAGCTTCATGTTCCTCTCCCTGACACTGATCACAGATCAGCTCCTCGTCCTCCATACAGTACTGAGTCAGTCTCTCTCCATGCTGTCTGCACAGATCTCCATCCTCCGCCATCTCTCCGCCCTCCACACCGTTTCCCACCCGCCGCGGCTGCCCTTGAAACAGCGAGTCGAGCAGCCCCTTCAGCACGCTGTCCAGCAGCTCGCGGCCGTAGCACTCGGTACAGCCCGGCCCGTCCTGTCCCAGCTCATCCTGACACAGCTGCAGGCAAGCCTGGCACAGAGTGTGTCCACAGGGCAGCAGCAGCGACCCTTCAGCCTGGCAGCCTGGGCACAAGGAGTCGCTGGAAGGTGAAGAGGGTTGATCGTCTGACATTATGGTAGTTTTCTGGATGTTGTCCTTCCTCTCTGTGTCTGGTCTGCAGCTCTCTGGTTGTTACACAATCACTGCTGTGCACTGGGTATCAACGGAAATCCCCGTTTGGATAGTCGGTGGTCTATTTATAAGAGTTATTGTGAAGCAAGCTCTAAGTTGTTTATATGCAATGGTGTCTGTGTGGAGAGTTTCGCTTGGTGCAGATCGTAGGGCAAGAGTCTGTTGCTGAGTCACTAGTGTGAGTGTGTGTGTGTGTGTGTGGGGTCTGGCATTAAAGTGTAAAGTGATACCACTTTCCTCAAGTGCTCTAATAATATCATCAGTCAAAACCGAATCACTTTTATCTGCACCAATGCAAAATTTCACCACACTGACAGGAGCAAAGAGTTCTTCTGTTTATCTGCCAGGTCTTTTCTGAAACATTTGTGAAATGTCTTAATGAAAACAAAGCATTACTGAATAATATTTTCTTTAAAAGTCATTTTTCATTAAAAATTTAATTTTTTCCCTTTTTAAAAAATGTACAAGGTAAAGTTTTCATCAAGTGATTTCACTGTATTGTTAGCCTAACGAGTTTCTAATATATACGATTTAAAAAAATATAAAGCAGCACAATTGCTTTTCTATGATTTTCTTCAACACTGATGTTTCTTGAGAAGCAAATCAGCGGGAGATTTCCATAATTACAATATTAATTTATTTCCCAAATACATAAAAAAAACATTTTAAAGTGTTTCATATATGTATGCATGCATGCATGTATGAGAGAGATATTTACAGTACAATTTTTATGTTTTTAAAAGTTGTGTAAAAATAGACACACATAGGTAGAATATGTATTAACCAAGTACAGTAAGGCGCACAAAGTTACATCATTTTAAAAACATTATCTTTTTAGAATGGTTATTACATTAATAAGCACAGGCTCGATAAATCCAAGAAAACTGCATTTCTTTTTCAACGCTTCCCTCACTTGGTCCTTTCATGCATTGACCAAAGTAACTAAATTAAATGTAATATTAAGTCCCAGTACTTTTTTCCCCCTGTAAGCCTGAGGACATATGGCTACACGTGGTTCTACATCTTTCATAATATATCTGCAGCAATATATAACCATTACAATCCCTAAATTCAACCATAAGGTCATTCCCGGAAGATAAATTCCAGCAATAAAAAATGAAGACGGCTTAGCATCCAACTCTCAAGACAACAAACAAACAAACTCAGTGTGTTTTACCCTATACTTTATTTGCGTTTCATGTCAAGGGGTGAAAACTTGCCTACAGTAAGCAACTGAAGGAAATATACACAGCAATTCAATCTACACACTCTGAAGAACCAACTGTACACATTATCTGATCATCATTACATCTTTCCATTAGAGCCATTTAAACGGAGCGCTTTCCCCAGCAACTGTTAAAAATGCAGATTCAAGGCAAAATGAAATACAAAAAAAACAATGATACCGTCTTCAAAACACATGACCTCCTGCAGAAGCTCCTCAATAACAATAATTATAAAATTCAGTGAGGAATTTGATGTTTGAGATGCAAATTTTCCGTTTTCAACAAGTGCGGTTTTCAATTGAGATGGTAACATTTTAAAGTGCTTTTAAAAGATTAGCGAACAAGACAACCGTTAGACAAATGAGCATTAAACAATGAAATAAAATGGGAGGACTGTTGAGTGCGGTTTTCATTTCCTCTCCGTCGCTTTTCTTCAGTACTGCGAAACGTGCACTACACCAGATTCATATTGCACACAAAAGGTCGTAAAACACCATCTTCAATATTCCCCTGCTACTACAGTACTACAGTCATTTACACAGGACACCTAGTAGGATCTGGATCCAAATACACGGAAAAACAGAGGACAATGGAAACCAAGTACACTGGAATCTACATATACTTATCAAGAAAAAACTTTAAAAAAGATCAACAAAAGAAAATGAACAGCAAAATCCCTAGTCTATAATAAAACAGAAATAAATAAAACAATATTACCTAGTTGCAAGTGAGACAAAATGATTAAATAAACCCCACCCACCGTTAAATAGGCCCCACCCATTAACACGAGTCAATGAAAGGCAGTAACGTTGTGCTGAATGAAAAGCATTGGAACTGTAGAGAGCCAATCAGCAGGTCGATATAAGCAAACGCAAAATCACAATGCAGCCAAAACCACAGCAGACGTTCCACAATCGCATTTTGGTTGTGTGAGCCAGAACTAAATGATGTGTGGGTTTCCTTGGGTTGTTTGCAATGCTCAAATCACTGAAGATTCAGTCACAAAACTTTAAAATATGGACCCTATAATGGACTAAACTGTCCCAAAACGCAAGTAAAATCAAATCAAAAGGTAAAAACTCAGGAGTGTAGGTATAATGTGACTTCAATGGCTGTCTGACCATCGCACAAACCTCACTCCAACAAAATGACACTAAGTTAAGAGGATGTCTCTAAAGGGGACAAGGGCGGGATGCGATCATTTCCATACACACGTGTCCACTGGTGCAAAAGCCTGTCTTTTTTTTTTTTTTTTAAGTTTTCTTTATATTTTTAAAGGGAAGATATAAGAGACAAGAATGGATGAACATCTGTACAGCCCAGACGGGGATAGTATTTCATGTTTCATACACATATATATATACTTATATTCATTTTCATATGTATAGTATTGAACCCTCCTGTGCTGTGGAATGCCTGTTCAGCTTTTTGGGGTGATATCAGCTTCAGCTGGGGCTACTGGGCTTAAATTCAGCATTCGAGAGCTGGAAAGAGTGACAAAGAGAGAGACATAGAGGGTGAAAAAGGAGAAAGATACTTTTCCATTTTACCTGCATAATGTGACAAGTATTTTGCAGCATGTACTCACTTATTTTACTGTTTGACTACGCCTCCACCACGGATGCCCACTGATTGGTTGTTCTGGAAGAGCCCCGCCCCTAAGCGGTTGACATTGGGATGGGTGGGAGAGGCGACAGGGGGCTGACCGGGTCTGATTGGCTTGGCTGTGATAGGAGGAAATGACTAGTTAGTCAAGCAGAATGCCTGTTCAGCTTTTTGGGGTGATATCAGCTTCAGCTGGGGTTACTGGGCTTAAATTCAGCATTCGACAGCTGGAAAGAGTGACAAAGAGAGAGACAGAGGGTGAAAAAGGAGAAAGATACTTTCCCATTTTACCTGCATAATGTGACAAGTATTTTGCAGCATGTACTCACTTATTTTACTGTTTGACTACGCCTCCACCACGGATGCCCACTGATTGGTTGTTCTGGAAGAGCCCCGCCCCTAAGCGGTTGACATTGGGGTGGGTGGGAGAGGCGACAGGGGGCTGACCGGGTCTGATTGGCTTGGCTGTGATAGGAGGAAATGACTAGTTAGTCAAGCCAGAAAACAACTTTTGATTGTTTACTAAATTAATCTACTAAATCTATCAATCAAAAATCGCTCCTAAAAGACTGGAATACACTAAGACTTCTAGTGCACAGATTTTTTCTAGATTGCACAGACTAGTCTGCAAGTTCTGGGCATTCAGAGTTGACCGTTTTTCACCTAGTTTATTATGGGCACAGACTCCAATTTTTTAGCTTTAGATTATGATTCCATTTAGTCAGAGAAAATCAAACAGGTTTAATAATTTGAGCTGATGGAACAACTTGAAAGGTCTGATAGTGTGTGATTATTAGTAGTTTCATTTAAGACGCCCAGTTGTTTAATGCCTAAAAGTGGTTTTAAAAGATGACAACAAACTGAAAAGCTTCAAAACTGGCCATTAATTGTGTTAAACTCAAAGAAATCACGAGATGCACCAGGCTTAATCATTTTAATCTACTACAGCCTGGACGAATCAATGCTAGTCTGCAAGTTCTGGGCATTCAGAGTTGACCGTTTTTCACCTAGTTTATTATGGGCACAGACTCCAATTTTTTAGCTTTAGATTATGATTCCATTTAGTCAGAGAAAATCAAACAGGTTTAATAATTTGAGCTGATGGAACAACTTGAAAAGTCTGATAGTGTGTGATTATTAGTAGTTTCATTTAAGACGCCCAGTTGTTTAATGCCTAAAAGTTGTTTTAAAAGATGACAACAAACTGAAAAGCTTCAAAACTGGCCATTAATTGTGTTAAACTCAAAGAAATCACGAGATGCACCAGGCTTAATCATTTTAATCTACTAACATCCCTAAAAAAGGTGACACGCATCTTTGTAGCATTCAACAACTTTTACTGTTCCTCTGTTATAGTATAATCTCTTCAAACCTACCCAAGACAAAATGTCAAAAGACACGTGCCTTCCGTAAGCACTTGGCTGAATCTAACAGCAGCACTTTTTTTAAAAGTGTGTGTTTGTGTGTGCTAACCGATCTGTGCGGAGTGTCCTCTGCGGGCCATGTTCTTGGCTCTGACGGCCTCTTTGATGCGGTCCACCTCCTGTTGGTAGCGTTTGCGGTCACGGGCTGCGTTCTCTTTGGCCTCTTTGAGCGCAGACTCCAGAGCCTTTACGCGCTCCGCTGTCGCCCGCAAGCGCTTCTCCAGCTTGGGCAGCTCACAGCGCAGGTCAGCGTTATCACGCACCAGCTGGACAAAGGAAAGAAAGATGACAGTGAGCGTGTGTGTGTTTTGAGAGTACGCCCATGGTGATGTTTTGAGTGTGTGTTTACCTGCTTGTGCACTTTAGTGAGCTGCTCAAGGTTGTTCTCAAGGAATGAGATCTTCTGTTTTTGCGCCGCACTGCCGCCGGTGTCATCTGAGTCCATCTCTGCGCTCTGAAAAATATGTAAATGCATAATTCAGGGTCGATAGAGAGTGGTCGATAAAGCCATAACTGGAGTTTTATGACGTCTATTAGCTTTGATGGCAGCGACATAAACCAAAGGCTACTAGCCCTAAATAAAAAAAAGAAAAGATAAAGATAATCAATAACAAATAAAATAATAATAAAAATAAAATAGTAATACAATTCTAATAACAGTAATAAAAACATTAAAAATAAAAGTAAACTAATTCATAAAATCATTTAAGAATTATAATAAATAAATGGATAAATAAATGTAAAATACTACAAATAAATTAAAACTTCAATAGGAACTTAATCAACAGAAAATGTGTTTTAAAAAAGACAGCTATACACAAGAACCTATAAACCCATCAACAATCTAATGTTTAGCTTTTAATAGTAACCATAGCTCAGGCTCGGTCATTATAATTTCAAAAAAAATATCCACATTGAATCTATTTAAGTATCTGGAGTAATTAAGAGAAGAATGTGTACACAACGGTTGTACCTTCTTCACCCGTGTGGCCAGATCCTGAACAAAGAGTTTCCTCAGGTTATGAAGAGTCTGCAGCTCTTTGGCCTGAGGAGAAGAGAGAAATCAAGAGCGTGCACACATGCATACGAAGATGCAAGAAACATCTCTCATGCACTGAAGAAAATGACCTACCACGGTCTCCTCCAGGCCTTTGAGATCCTGTCTGGCCTGTTCCCTTCTGTCCTGCATCACCCTGTAAACATATTTTAGCATTAGCATACAGACTACTTCTCAAACCTCTGCATGTTCATTGCGTGTCGTACGTGAGCTCGTGCAGTTTGCGGCTCTTCTCCTGGTCAGTGGCTTTGAGTTTCTCATGCTCCACCTTCAAGCGCTCTTGCTCCAACATGATCTTCTGGTTCTGACTGCAGCCAGAAAACAAAGAGAGGAAAAATGAGCCCATGTGGCCTTGATTCAGTGCCTGAAGATGTGTATGTTTATGTCTTACTCCTGCAGCTCAGTGATGAGTTTCTCCTTGGTCTCCAGCTCGTCTCTCAGGCTGCTCAGCTGTTTCTGATGAGCTTCTCTGTGGTTCTGAATCTGCTGCTCAACTGCAACCTGTCCAATCACGCATAGAAAGAAACTATGAATTACAAACTCTCTTTTAAAATAAATTTAACAGCTCTCAAAAGCCCCCTTTCTGAGTCTTGCGATCTAAATGTTTCAACTGCAGAATAGAGTTTAATTGGCAAGACTAAATATGTCTGGAAAAATCATTATGCAGCAATTAATATGTTGTTATAAAATGCTTACCTTGACTTCATTAGCACTTTGTATCTCATCCTCCTTCTCCATGGCATGAACTTTCTCTGCACAAGGGAAAATAAACTTCATCACAACTTCTTTCACACCCAATGCAGTCTCACCACAAGAGGGCAGTAAAAGTTGGTCTGTCTGGGCCACACAGTTTTTTATATGGGCATTAAAATGCATTTATGAGAGGAAAGAAAAGCATGTGTGTGTATTTGTACCCTGTGCGCTGAGTTTGACCAGTTCCTCATTGAGAGAGTCGACGTTCTCCTCTAGCTGTCTCTTCTTCTGTTCAATGTTTTGCAGATACTCTGTCAGGGACTTGATCTTTGCTTCATACTGTAGACAAACACAGAAATAAATCTCAGGATCTTTTTAAAGCTTCCTGTAAATGCCATGCTAGTGTTGTAATGGAGAGCATGTGGTGTTTCCATTTAGCTACAGTCATGCATTAATGATCTAATAAACATAAGACTGGTTTTACTAGGCGAAGAGCTGTGTAAACGCTCTTTTATGTTCAGTAAAAGAAACTAAAACAAGTTTGAAATGTTATAAGACTTTTGGATGAACTACTCTTGCTTTATCTTGACATTCTTGCATTTACCTGAGAGATACGGAGCTGACAGGCTGCGAGCTCTTTCTCGTTCTCATCCATCTTCTTGTTGCTCTCAGTCTGAGCGCTTTCCAGCTGTTTGCTGCGTTTAGGATCTTTTTAAAGCTTCCTATAAATGCCATGCTAGTGTTGTAATGGAGAGCATGTGGTGTTTCCATTTAGCTAGTCATACATTAATGATCTAATAAACATAAGACTGGTTTTACTAGGCGAAGAGCTGTGTAAACGCTCTTTTATGTTCAGTAAAAGAAACTAAAACAAGTTTGAAATGTTATAAGACTTTTGGATGAACTACTCTTGCTTTATCTTGACATTCTTGCATTTACCTGAGAGATACGGAGCTGACAGGCTGCGAGCTCTTTCTCGTTCTCATCCATCTTCTTGTTGCTCTCAGTCTGAGCGCTTTCCAGCTGTTTGCTGCGTTTCACCAGAGTCTTCACCTCCGACTTCATCTTACTGATGTACAGACGAGCCACTGTGAACTCTTCATCAATGAGACCTCCACCCTCATGCTGCTGAGACAAAACGCAGACAGAGAAAGAAAGAGAAATAATTGAGGTTAGAGAGGAGGGTGAACAGTTAAAATAGTGCAAAGGAAGAGGAAAATAAAAAGCAAAGATGAAGAGACAAAATATTAAAGGGGAAAAAAACTGTTTCATAAGGAAAAAGAAAAAAAAAATATGCATATGTGTGTGTATATAAGCGAGAGAGGCTAATGCAACAACTTTGTTTTTTTGCCTTTTTACCTTAATGTCATTGCTGCCTACGGCGATGCCAATCTCTGCCAGGTCTTTAAGCAGTGATGACATCATCTCAGTGACTCTCTTCTTCTGATGGTTGGTCATTTCCTTCAGTTTCTGCAGCTCAGAGTCGATAGATGCAAGAACGCTCTGCAACAACAGACAGCTCAGATCAGCAACCAGTACCAAGACATTCCTTAAAATTACTGTCTTGAACTGATATAGTTACCCTGTCACATTAAATATATTATTACATCATTTTAAATATAATTAATGTTTTATCTATTGTAATGTTAATTATGAACATTATTATAATTACTACTATTAAAGTGCCCCTATTATGCCATTTTTAAGGTTGCTAATATGTGACCCTGGACCACAACCAGTCTTAAGTCGCTGGGGTATATTTTTAGCAATAGCCAAAAAAAAACATTATATGGGTCAAAATTAACGATTTTTCTTTTATGCCAAAAATCTTTAGGATATTAAGTAAAGATCATGTCCCATGAATATATTTTGTAATTTGCCTACCGTAAATATATCAAAACTTAATTTTTGATTAGTAATATGCATTGCTACGAACTTCATTTGGACAACTTTAAAGGCGATTTTCTCAATATTTCGATTTTTTTTGCACCCTCAGATTCCAGATATACAAATAGTTGTATCTCGGCCAAATATTGTCCTATCCTAACAAACCATACATCAATGGAAAGCTTATTTATTCTACTTTCAGATGATGTATAAATCTCAATTTTAAAAAATTGACCCTTATGACTGGTTTTGTGGTCCAAGGTCACATATTGTTTTAGGAGTCTCCTAAAACAGGTTTACATGCATGCAAGGTCAAAAACATGTTAGTTTTCTCAAAAAATAGATTAAATTTTACCTCATTTCTAAATGATTCGTAAACGACTAGTGCCAAGCAGTTCAAAGAATCAGTCTCTCTAAATCCCTCCTTTCCGTGAGCCTTCACTGCTGTGATTGGTCAGATGGCGCAGTCCTTTGTGATTGGTCCAGAGCCGTAGAGATTGGCTCTGGATTGGTCTACCGCGTACAGCATGTGTCGGAAACGAAACACTGCCATGATGGAATGACAGCCCTGGAGACTTGTCAATACATAGAAAAGATGGTATCAATTGTACCTTACCAATTGGAGCTGGAGTCTGATGAAACGGTTGAACTGGCTGATCGACAAGAGACTGATTCGCAAGCATGACTGGAGCAGGACGTTTCTCAGTGACAAGTGTTAACAAGTTTGTGGTAATTATAAGATGTGATAAAACAAATTCACTCTCACAGCATAGGATACAACGTCTTCTCAACATGATGTTAACCACACGGAAATGTTACTGTTTGTGTGCGGGCAAGTTGGCGACGTAGTACGTGGGCAGACAATACACAAATGTGTTACTTCGTGACGCAGAGCCGTAACAGAATAAGATTTGAATTCCTGATGACTCGTTTAGGCGATTGCGAGACGACTTTTTTTTTTTTTTGATAGACAATAACTTTATTTATCGCGCACTGTCGGCTTCACAACTTTGCAGATAGTTTATGTTCACATACAGCTACATGACACACTGCATGAAAGGTAATATTCGAAAAGGCATAATAGGGGCACTTTAACAACATTAGATTTTATGTGTCTTCTAAAGATTTGAATCTAACTTGATGTCTAGACAAAAAGAGAGAAGAAAATGTTCAAGCAAAAGTAACTTACAACTTTTCGGTGAAAGTGAATTAAACAATAGTGAAGAAAATGGTGTTTTTAATGACGAGTTTCTCCTCACAGATTTCTGGTTGAGCTCTTCATTTAGGGCTTCAAACTCCTTGGACTTGTCCTCAACCTCCTGACTCTTCTGATCATAGTTAACTGCAAGCTCCTCCAGGGCCTGCAGCACCTCCTTCACCTCCTCTTTAGACGCCTCGTTCTCCATCTGAAGACGGGTGAGCTCCGCCTGCAGGTTGTCATGGTCCCTTCGCGTTGAGACCAGCAGCTACAACACAAAGATTTTTGTGTTGGATCATCAGTGTCAAATTATTGAGGAGAGAGAAGAGGGGAATGTGATGGGAACTCATCACAACATGTAAGGAGCATGTGCACTTGGCCAGAACGTTATTTATTATTTAGCTTTTAATGGCAAAGGGCAAACCCCAACTCCTGAGTTTTTATAGTCTCCAGATAATTCACAGCCAACTAGGAGACAGGACACTGTTCTTATTTATGGGAAATAACGTAAATTTCTGTGAACTCTTCATCAATGAGACCTCCACCCTCATGCTGCTGAGACAAAACGCAGACAGAGAAAGAAAGAGAAATAATTGAGGTTAGAGAGGAGGGTGAACAGTTAAAATAGTGCAAAGGAAGAGGAAAATAAAAAGCAAAGATGAAGAGACAAAATATTAAAGGGGAAAAAAACTGTTTCATAAGGAAAAAGAAAAAAAAAATGCATATGTGTGTGTATATAAGCGAGAGAGGCTAATGCAACAACTTTGTTTTTTTTGCCTTTTTACCTTAATGTCATTGCTGCCTACGGCGATGCCAATCTCTGCCAGGTCTTTAAGCAGTGATGACATCATCTCAGTGACTCTCTTCTTCTGATGGTTGGTCATTTCCTTCAGTTTCTGCAGCTCAGAGTCGATAGATGCAAGAACGCTCTGCAACAACAGACAGCTCAGATCAGCAACCAGTACCAAGACATTCCTTAAAATTACTGTCTTGAACTGATATAGTTACCCTGTCACATTAAATATATTATTACATCATTTTAAATATAATTAATGTTTTATCTATTGTAATGTTAATTATGAACATTATTATAATTACTACTATTAAAGTGCCCCTATTATGCCATTTTTAAGGTTGCTAATATGTGACCCTGGACCACAACCAGTCTTAAGTCGCTGGGGTATATTTTTAGCAATAGCCAAAAAAAAACATTATATGGGTCAAAATTAACGATTTTTCTTTTATGCCAAAAATCTTTAGGATATTAAGTAAAGATCATGTCCCATGAATATATTTTGTAATTTGCCTACCGTAAATATATCAAAACTTAATTTTTGATTAGTAATATGCATTGCTACGAACTTCATTTGGACAACTTTAAAGGCGATTTTCTCAATATTTCGATTTTTTTTGCACCCTCAGATTCCAGATATACAAATAGTTGTATCTCGGCCAAATATTGTCCTATCCTAACAAACCATACATCAATGGAAAGCTTATTTATTCTACTTTCAGATGATGTATAAATCTCAATTTTAAAAAATTGACCCTTATGACTGGTTTTGTGGTCCAAGGTCACATATTGTTTTAGGAGTCTCCTAAAACAGGTTTACATGCATGCAAGGTCAAAAACATGTTAGTTTTCTCAAAAAATAGATTAAATTTTACCTCATTTCTAAATGATTCGTAAACGACTAGTGCCAAGCAGTTCAAAGAATCAGTCTCTCTAAATCCCTCCTTTCCGTGAGCCTTCACTGCTGTGATTGGTCAGATGGCGCAGTCCTTTGTGATTGGTCCAGAGCCGTAGAGATTGGCTCTGGATTGGTCTACCGCGTACAGCATGTGTCGGAAACGAAACACTGCCATGATGGAATGACAGCCCTGGAGACTTGTCAATACATAGAAAAGATGGTATCAATTGTACCTTACCAATTGGAGCTGGAGTCTGATGAAACGGTTGAACTGGCTGATCGACAAGAGACTGATTCGCAAGCATGACTGGAGCAGGACGTTTCTCAGTGACAAGTGTTAACAAGTTTGTGGTAATTATAAGATGTGATAAAACAAATTCACTCTCACAGCATAGGATACAACGTCTTCTCAACATGATGTTAACCACACGGAAATGTTACTGTTTGTGTGCGGGCAAGTTGGCGACGTAGTACGTGGGCAGACAATACACAAATGTGTTACTTCGTGACGCAGAGCCGTAACAGAATAAGATTTGAATTCCTGATGACTCGTTTAGGCGATTGCGAGACGACTTTTTTTTTTTTTTGATAGACAATAACTTTATTTATCGCGCACTGTCGGCTTCACAACTTTGCAGATAGTTTATGTTCACATACAGCTACATGACACACTGCATGAAAGGTAATATTCGAAAAGGCATAATAGGGGCACTTTAACAACATTAGATTTTATGTGTCTTCTAAAGATTTGAATCTAACTTGATGTCTAGACAAAAAGAGAGAAGAAAATGTTCAAGCAAAAGTAACTTACAACTTTTCGGTGAAAGTGAATTAAACAATAGTGAAGAAAATGGTGTTTTTAATGACGAGTTTCTCCTCACAGATTTCTGGTTGAGCTCTTCATTTAGGGCTTCAAACTCCTTGGACTTGTCCTCAACCTCCTGACTCTTCTGATCATAGTTAACTGCAAGCTCCTCCAGGGCCTGCAGCACCTCCTTCACCTCCTCTTTAGACGCCTCGTTCTCCATCTGAAGACGGGTGAGCTCCGCCTGCAGGTTGTCATGGTCCCTTCGCGTTGAGACCAGCAGCTACAACACAAAGATTTTTGTGTTGGATCATCAGTGTCAAATTATTGAGGAGAGAGAAGAGGGGAATGTGATGGGAACTCATCACAACATGTAAGGAGCATGTGCACTTGGCCAGAACGTTATTTATTATTTAGCTTTTAATGGCAAAGGGCAAACCCCAACTCCTGAGTTTTTATAGTCTCCAGATAATTCACAGCCAACTAGGAGACAGGACACTGTTCTTATTTATGGGAAATAACGTAAATTTGATGTGTGGTGCGTGTTTAAGTCTCACCTCTTCCTGATCCAACATCTGCTGCTTGAGTTTCTCAGCCAGCTGAGACTGCTGATTTATCTCATCATCCTAAAACCAGAGAGCAGAGAGAAACAGAATGATTGTAAAGAATGAGTCTTGAAACGCATCTTTATTTTACAATGAAACTTATTGTTCTGTTATTACCAATTATGCACTTCAAAAGTTAAAAGTCTGGGGTCAGTATGATTTTTTTTTTTTTTAAGTCTCCGATACACACCAAGGCTGAATTTATTTGATTAAAAACTACAGTAATATTAATAGAAAAAATCTAAATACTATTCAAAATATACTATTTACTAGGGGTGCTCCGATCAGGATTTTTGAGGCCGATCACCGATCACAGAAAGCAGTATCTGCCGATACAATCACCGATACCGATCTTTTTAAAGCCTTCTTTTTATCATGTAGAATGATTTATAGTGATGATCCAATCAAGATTTGTAGACATTTATTCAGGGCCTGAAATTTTTTTTTGAAAATGAATTCCCCTCTTAGGTGACTCCTGTGAGAGGGGATTTTTTTTTTATTTGAGGGGGGGAGGGGGGCATTTTTTAGACATTTTTTAAAAATATATTTCTCTCACCTAAATGTTTGATCATGCCATGCATTTTCGTTTCGACAATCGTGCAAATGTTGCACAATAGCTTACACACAGCACAAGCCTGATTTTGTGAGCTGTATGTGAGGCGGCCTTTTACGCCAGGTTCACACATACTCCGTTTGCAGTGCATATGCAGTCCATGTGTGGTACTTAAGCGATGCAGAAGCAGCACAGACTCTCATTGTGCTTTCACACAGGAGTCTGCAACTGATCCGTGGCTGTTTACTACAAACACAACATTTATCCTTTATTTTGATTTCAAATCCAAACATTGTTACTTAAAATGTTACTTTTCAGCATTGAGATTCTTTATTATTTATTTTTTTTACACAGTATAGTAATACAATTTTTATAGACGTGTTTAAACGCAATAAATATTAGAAACACATTATTCAATGCTTTTTACTTTTGCATTTACTTCTAGATTTATATATTAAGTTGCTCAAGCAAGTGGCAAAACATTTAAACTACTTTTCTTACATTATCACAAACATTCTAAATTAAAACTTACCATTGACAGAGCCAAAGCCATAGCCTGACAGTAGAGTTTAATTATATGCATTTATGGTGTAATTAAAAATTTTTCGTGTCAATCCATGTTCATATTTACCGCAAACCATGCGCTATCACTTTAATTCAGCGCAGCAAAAATAGATTCGGTGCGGAAACGATCTCTGCACTGCAGCAGACGCACCGCTCCTGGAATGCACTGCCGAACCGCAACCGTGTGCAGTGTGAACGCTTTAATCCATTAACATGAGCGCGGAAAATATACGCACCGCATACACACTGCAAATGGAGTATGTGCGAACCTGGCGTTGTGTGTGTACACTGCGAGTGTCCATGAGCGCACGGTCTCCAGGAGAGCACGCGAGGGCTGAATGGTTTAAACTCTGGCAATAATTAAAAATAAATTCAATTTATAAACTTTAGTGACGATCCGACACTGCCTCAATTGCGCAAGTGACAATTCCTGTGTCAACTGTGCAGCGTGCAGCTCGCTTAGTGCAGACGCGATGTGATTTGAAGCCATTTGTGCATTTTGAGAGAGAACGAGAGAGCGCGCGCAGTGATTCAACACTGCGAGTGTGCATGAGCGCACGGTCTCCAGGAGAGCACGCGAGGGCTGAATGGTTTAAACTCTGGCAATAATTAATAAGGCAATAATTATAAACTTTAGTGACGAGCCGACACTGCCTCAATTGCGCAAGTGACAATTCCTGTGTCAACTGTGCAGCGTGCAGCTCGCTTAGTGCAGACGCGATGTGATTTGAAGCCATTTGTGCATTTTGAGAGAGAACGAGAGAGCGCGCGCAGTGATTCACTCACGCTGTTTGTGAAATGATCTCTCAGAGAACGTTTACAAATGACTTTATAAGTTACTTATAATTGCTGAAATGAGACTCTTATTTCAAACAATATATGAAGATACTATTGGCTGATTGACTGATGCAAAAAATCTCAAAATGGCCATTAATGCCAAAAGCAAATGTCCAAAATCTTCGTTCATTCAAGATCAGTAGTTCATCTTACCTTGTCATCAAGCTGTTTGTAGAGTTTGGCCAATTCAGCCTCACACTTCTCACGCTCAGCGTCAGTGAATTTAGGGCCAGGCATGCTGGGAGACGAGGTGATTTTATCATTATTCATCACATTATCCAGGGCCAGAACATCAGCGTTTGCCTTCTCCTTATCGTACTGCTCCTCAATGGGAACACTCTCACCTAAAAACACACAAAACACAATAGAGTTGTGTGCAATTATCATTGAATACAGCTGAATGAGTATGAAGCGGGTGTCATTACAGTACCGTTCCTCCAGCGGTTGAGCTCGTTCTCCAGCCAGGTGATGGTGTTCTTTAGTGTTTTGTTCTTCTCTTTCTCCTTCTCGTATTTCTTCTTCCACTGCTCGGCTGTCAGCTCCACGTTCACACACACTGTGTTCTTGATGGTCTTTGCTCTGAAAACAGTAAAAAAAAATAAAAACAATAAAAAAAAGAATTACTTGGCGCTCAAAACAAAAGTTTTGTTAAAACTCTCAGTGTGTGTATATCTCATCACCTCTGTCCGAACATGAGCGTAGTTTTGGTCTCTGCCTCGTTGTAGGAGGATGGAGAGCAGCAGATCACTATAGTGGTCCTGCAGTTTCCACCCAGAGAATCCTGCAAGATCCTCGTCATCTTACTGTCTCTGTAGGGAATGTACGTCTGATGGGGGGAAAGAAATATTCATTCATTAACCTTCCATCTATGAAAAAACAAACACGTTCTGCTGAATTACAAAAAAAGCCAAATATTATTTAATTTGGTGAATGAAAACTTTCTATCATGCACAGTTTTTTCCACAAAACATTAAGATTTTTTAAAATTCATATACATGTATCAGCTTTAATGCAGTTATCAGAACAAAAAATAAACGTACTCCATTTAATGTCAATGAACTTTGCATATACAAGTTTATAAATAAATACGCTCTTTTTAATCTGTAATTTTCTGTTGCTGTTTGGATGTATTAAAACACCCAAAGATGCAGCAGAAAAATCTGGGTAATGTCTGCATTTTCTTCCATAATTATAACCTTGAAATCAGGATAATGCATAAAATAATATCTCCAGAATCATTCATACATGTGAAAATCAGCTGAAAACTGAACAAACAGTTGTAATTAGGCTCAAAATTATGTATTTGTGGCAGTTTATCTGGCGATTAAGTGATAATACAAGACTTCTTCACATTACAATTGGTTGTGGAAAGCAAAAATGCTATGACAAGTGCTATGACAAGCACATCACATTTTGTAAGAAAGAAACATGCTCGAGAAAAACAGGCTCTCTTATTGGATAAGGCACCCCAAAATTAGTAAGAATCAAGTGTTGGATTTCCATTCAGCAAATATGATGCAGGGCAGTGAATTGTACAATTGTACATCACACCTACCGTTCCTTCTGCAAGAGCAGAGATGACGTTGCCCAGAGCGGAAAGAGATTTGTTAATGTTTTTGGCTTCATCCAACACAGCACCCTCTGCTCCAGTTTTACTGACCTGCAGTCAAAAACATCAAATCAGAGTCAGTGCCGCCACAAATGAAACTAACATTAATAAGGAACTAATCAAATCACATATACTATTATGGGTCCTGAAGTGAAACCAGCTGAAAATAACGGAGGTAAAACAATTCTGTGAATGGGTTTAAAATAGAAATAGAGAGAAGTGAAAGAGGAAAAAAGGAAGTGAAAAGCGAGAAGCAGAAATATCACCTTCTCGCTTCCTGCTAAATCCACCAGGTAAAGTTTCCCGCTCAGTTTCTGCTCCGTCTGTGTGTTCTCTTGCTTGACGTTTATCAGGAAGATACTGTGACTCCTGGAGCTGTGCTCGTTCATGTCTGACACCACAGAGAAAGCATAAGTTTCCATTTCCACTCAACTTTAAGTACATGCACACAACACAGGGCTCGACAATAAGGACTGCCTGATGGCATTTAACAACATTAAATTAACCCCTAAGCCAGCGTGAAAGACGTTCGGGACAGTAGACGGATTCATCACTTGCCTGATCGGGCCACTGCAGCTTCGTCATGAAATTGTATCATTTGCATGTGTTTTTAAGCCTTGTTAATTAAAAAATTCAAGCGATTAAAACGCATTTGTGCACGAAAGACAACTACAGAACACAGCGCACGCACAGACAGCCGCGTCTCTGACACGTGCGAGCCCCCTGAATGGGTAAATACACACAAAAGTATGTCAAAATACCCCTCTTGGCAAGTAACTTTGTAGTTTTAACAATGATTAATCTATATTTAATTTATACACTGGAGTAGGCTACAGATGCACCGATCGACCGTCCATTTTTTGTTTTATTTCAGACTATCTTCTGTTCTGTGCTTGCACACAAACTGCACTGCAATCATTTTCCCAAATGCCATTTGTGTGAAAATAATTAGTCTGTAAACGGCCGTTAACTGAGGCCAGAGACTATGAAGTCAGACACAAAGAGGAGAAAATACTGTAGCAGTCAGAGCAAGATCACTATTCACGGTGCGCGAAATATAGGAAGAACATTCAAACATTGAATTTTATATGAATGCGTTTCTGAGGGGACCTGGATGTTTTTAGAAATGGCATTGTCTTTGTCTCCATATAATGCATTTAAATTAGCACTGCTGTTTACACAGCGGTAACCAAGGAAACACTGTATCACTGTTCCATAAGCGCCGCCTTTCGTCAGAGAGTGAATCTGCGTCTCATTCAGCCTGTCTACCGTTTCTGTGTCATGCATGTTTTCTGTAGCATCATTTCACAAAGCTAAAGTCAGACCACTCTTGTTTTTGCTTCAGATTTTGAAATTATACAGTCTAATAAAAATCAAACATTGCACATGTATTGTTTTTTTGGGGGTGGGGATCAATTCATGATTAAAATCCAGTGGCTGCTTCTAATTTCCAAAGGTTATGAAAAATCAAGGTGCAACACAGAGTGAAGAATATGCAAATATTATTTTGTGTGATTTTTCAATTTATGTACCTGAACATACTACAAACATAACTTAAAGCATAATTTAACTCATCTTTGTGCTATAGGCCTATATTTAATTAAATATGTTTATTTTTGGCTAGTGATTTTTGCTGTGGTATCGAAATTGAAATAGAGAATTGTAAAGTCTAATTGGTATCTAAAATATTGGTTTCATTAAGCTTATATATTAGAATACAAGATAAGATCAAAAACAATGATAACAGCAACTTTTAAATTTTTTTGTGGCAGGGCCAGTGAAAATGTTGGCAGGGCAAGTAAAAATTTGAACCACTGGCCCAATCGGGCCAGTAGAAAAAATCCTTAGTGTTAATCCCTGCAACAAGACATTTTTTTAGTTGTACAAACATCTTCTTATAAACAAATAAGAAGGTCCTGAAACTACTTGCGCTAATATAACTCAACAAGAGCAACAGGTGTGGAAAAGTTCTGCCTGCTAAAAACAGCTATGCAGTGTGTCTGACTGATTTGCATGGGCTTACTTGTGACAGCCACATGTCTGTTGGATTTGCCTTCGTCAATGGTGTCCATCACTTCGTCTGGGCTACACACAAACCGTTCAGTACAACCCTGCAGATGGAGAAAAAGATAGACAGGGAAAACATGTGAACCACTCCTTCACTAACACATGCACAGCTAATTACTAAAACACAGCTTTACCTTTACGTAAGGAACTCTGTTCTTGTCTTCATGAACAGACAGGTTGGTCTTAGATACTGAAAGAAAAATTCTGATTATTATTATTTTTAATACGATTACACTCAGATTACACAATCTCTAATAAATGAAACAATGCAAAAATGATCAAATCTGTATCATATTCAGTCATACGTACCATCCAGCAAATCCCTGATCTTGTCCAGGTAAATCTCAAAATAGGAGACCTGCCAATGCAGAACAGCTCTGTGAATTTCATTACCAGCATCTGAAATTATTACACTGTTGTTCAAAAGTTTGGGGAGAGTATTTTTTTATATATATTTAAAAAAAAAAAATCTTACTAAGGCTGCATGCATTTTATTAATATTGTGAAATAATATAACTCTTAATACACACCACACACACAGACATCTCCAAGATTCCTACTTTTGGTCTTTAAATTTCCAAGTCATTAATTTTTTTCAAGTCTCAAAGCATTTCAAACCTTGATATGGAATTCCAGGTTTTCATCCATAGAGTAAATGTAGTTGAATATATCCTGGACGATCCGCGGAATAATGCCCATGCCATCTTGATCATGCAGGTTCCCCTAAACAATCACATAAACAAATATTCAATTATTATGATAACATGCGATGATTTACGGTGCAATAAAGGTACTGATAGTTCTGACTGGCAAAAACATTGGAAAATATTAAATCTTAAGAAAACTGAATCAGCAAAAAAAACACAATGAGTTTGTTTTAAAAAAGCTAATTGAAAATCATACTGCCAGTTGCAAAAAGCAATTCTTTAAGACTCTGAATTTGTTTATTTCTAGATGAATTCTCACCTCCATGGTGTGTGTTTTTCCAGAGGAGGTTTGCCCATAAGCAAATATTGTACCGTTATAACCCTCAAGCACATCTGCAGGGCACAACACAACAAAACATACCATTTGAATAAATGTATTTGTTTATGATTTAATGCCATGTCAGCAGCAATGGCTATACGCATGGCAAAAACTATTTAACTGCATCACTCAATTCAACCAACATTCTTTCAATAGAACGTTCACGTTTGAACAATTTTGTCTTAAAAAGTCAACATACAAAATAAAATAAAAAAAACACAATACAAACTAAAATAACAATAACAACAATAATAGCAATTACTATTTGAATGAATGCCCCATATAAGAAATTTGGTATTGATATCAATGGCATAATATTAATTAATTATTAAAGACCAAAATTAATGGCATCATGAAAGTTTTTTTTGGAGTCAATTAATTATAACTATTTTCTGAATCCTGATCTGTTTGCTACGTCTCCTGGAGAACTCCTTTCTCACCTTTAACAATCTTCTGAGCACAAGCGTTGTAAACCTGCTCCTGAGAAGTGTTAGACTGAAACACCCGATCAAACACATACGGCTTTCCCTGAAGAGAGAGAGAGAGAGACAGACATACAATGAATGAGACATTGATTCTCACATACATATATATATATATATATATATATATATATATATATATATATATATGCACCTATATCTATTTTTTTAGAGTAAAACATTTCAAGTTTTTTTGTTTTAATTTTGACGATTATAGCTTACAGCTCATGAAAGTCAAAAATTCAGTATCTCAAAATAATAGAATATTTCCTAAGATCAATCAAAAAAAAAAATTCTGCAAAACAGAAAAGTTCAAGTTCTTTAAAGTATGTTAATTTATGCACTTGTAGCATCTGGACCAATCAAACACACAATATATATTTTGTTTTTATATTTAACAAATAATCTGTAATCCCCCTAGCTTTTTCTCATCAACCAACTTCAGCAAGATCTTGGGGCCTTAAGATCGCATCAGGAATCTTTGTTCAGACAGACGTGCAAGTATCAAACTTAGTCGATTTAATTGATGCATTAAGTATCAGTTACACCTTTTTACAAGGTGTGTTTGAGCTAAGAATCTGACGTTTTCCCTCAGGTTTTAGATCTGTTGAATATGCAAAGTGTTTCATAAAATTCATTCTTTATGCCTCTTTCTATGCTGAGTTAAACTTTAACCCTTTCCTATACCAACTGTATGTGTGTGTGTGTGTGTGTGTGTGTGTATGTGTATGTTAGACCAGTTTATGTGTTTATGTAGTATGTTAGACTAGTTTAAGTGTTTATGTAGTTAATAAAACCTTACTTGTATCACACTTGACGTGTTCATTGTTTGCTCATAACCGGAGTCACTAATCATGCAGATTTACGTTACAAGCTTGGTAGAATTGTACAGTAAGAAAGTTATTTCCCTTAACCAGGCAATTAACGTTCTTAAAATTGTCAAGACAGTTGACCCTGAGTGGTCAGCTAAATATCTACAGCGGATCTAAAATATGAATAGTTAATTATAACTAGTTATGGTTAATTATTCATATTTCCTGTCGTTGAGCTAAAATTCGCTACACACTCAATACTTGGTCGGGGCTCCTTTAGCACAAACTCCAGCATCAGTAAGGTGTGGCAAGGAAGCCATCAGCCTGTGGCACTGCTGAGGAACTATTGAGCCTTAAGCTCGTCTGCCTTCGTCTGCACTGACTTTGGACTTTGGACCACAATGGACCAACACCAGCATACGTCACGGCACCCGAAATCATCACTGACTTCAGAAACTTCACACTGGACTTCAAGCAGCTTGGATTCTGTGCCTCTCCAGTCTTCCACGTTCATATTCACTCGATTTTTTTGCGCAGCTCGTCAGTGAACAACGGCTCTGTGTAGTTAATGCTGCTCAATGTGAAAGCCCACAGGTGATGGAAATTTACCGCTGATTACAGAACCAGGTTTCTGACAAGATGCGCATTAAATAATCACATGCGATTTATCGTGCAGCCCTAATTTATATACATACATATACACAGCTGTGCATCTCTAAAATAGAGGTAAAGGCACAAATAATCTACACAATAAAATAGATAAATTGTTACCAGTTTGACAATGAATACATTTAATCTTTATCCATTAGAAGGCAATTTTCCTTAATAGCATTTCAATCACAGGAGGAACATGTGCATGAGATGTGATGTCAGCATTGGCAGTGATTACAGTAGAAACCCTGTCATAGGAGCTGTAAAGTAATCCCTTTACATTCAGATAAACTCTCATTCATTCACACAAGACGCTCACTAATCGCCTTACAACTGATTGAAACCCATCAGAAGACAATACATCACAATCCGGTCAAATATACAGCTGAGACCCCTCACAAGACACATCAGGACCCGTATTCACAAAACATTTTATCTTACCACTAAGAGTTCTCCTAAATAGCAGTAAAAGTTTTTAGCTAAGAGTTTTCTCTTAAAACCCATTCACAGAGCTGCTAAGACAAACTTTTACTAAGGAATATATAGAAGTCTTAAACTAAGATTAAGGGCGGGGTTGACCTTGTTGCTATGGATGATGTCAGCATACTTACTAACTACGCACACAGTGATTGGCTGATAGTCTCTGTCAGAGATTTATTCATATAAATATTGTAGAGCGCAATATTATGTTGCTATATTCAAATAAAGATTTTAAAATGCAGGCTAAGTGTCACTAATTACACAAGTAGGCTATATATTCAGCTAATTGTCAGCCTCTTACATGTATGCTTCTCGTAAACAATTAGTCAATAATATGCATTAGGGCTGCCCTCGACTAAAGATTTTTCTGGTCGACTAGTCGTCGTTCATTTTAAGCATTAGTTGACTATTAGTTGCACTTTTATTAATAAACCATATAAATCATTAATTGCCTACATAGTCTAATAAGCACTCAAGCGCACGCAAAAAAGGCTTGCCACAGCGCACCGGCAAATATAATAATTATGAATGTGTTAGGGAAAAACAGCAAGTACACTGCATTAACGTTTTAATAATTTATTGTTACACTAGTGCTTTTTGTTTTCGGTTTAAGAGATGAAGTCGGCGACACTGACTCGTCATCTTCGTTGAGCTAAAATTCGCTACACACTCAATACTTGGTCGGGGCTCCTTTAGCACAAACTCCAGCATCAGTAAGGTGTGGCAAGGAAGCCATCAGCCTGTGGCACTGCTGAGGAACTATTGAGCCTTAAGCTCGTCTGCCTTCGTCTGCACTGACTTTGGACTTTGGACCACAATGGACCAACACCAGCATACGTCACGGCACCCGAAATCATCACTGACTTCAGAAACTTCACACTGGACTTCAAGCAGCTTGGATTCTGTGCCTCTCCAGTCTTCCACGTTCATATTCACTCGATTTTTTTGCGCAGCTCGTCAGTGAACAACGGCTCTGTGTAGTTAATGCTGCTCAATGTGAAAGCCCACAGGTGATGGAAATTTACCGCTGATTACAGAACCAGGTTTCTGACAAGATGCGCATTAAATAATCACATGCGATTTATCGTGCAGCCCTAATTTATATACATACATATACACAGCTGTGCATCTCTAAAATAGAGGTAAAGGCACAAATAATCTACACAATAAAATAGATAAATTGTTACCAGTTTGACAATGAATACATTTAATCTTTATCCATTAGAAGGCAATTTTCCTTAATAGCATTTCAATCACAGGAGGAACATGTGCATGAGATGTGATGTCAGCATTGGCAGTGATTACAGTAGAAACCCTGTCATAGGAGCTGTAAAGTAATCCCTTTACATTCAGATAAACTCTCATTCATTCACACAAGACGCTCACTAATCGCCTTACAACTGATTGAAACCCATCAGAAGACAATACATCACAATCCGGTCAAATATACAGCTGAGACCCCTCACAAGACACATCAGGACCCGTATTCACAAAACATTTTATCTTACCACTAAGAGTTCTCCTAAATAGCAGTAAAAGTTTTTAGCTAAGAGTTTTCTCTTAAAACCCATTCACAGAGCTGCTAAGACAAACTTTTACTAAGGAATATATAGAAGTCTTAAACTAAGATTAAGGGCGGGGTTGACCTTGTTGCTATGGATGATGTCAGCATACTTACTAACTACGCACACAGTGATTGGCTGATAGTCTCTGTCAGAGATTTATTCATATAAATATTGTAGAGCGCAATATTATGTTGCTATATTCAAATAAAGATTTTAAAATGCAGGCTAAGTGTCACTAATTAAACAAGTAGGCTATATATTCAGCTAATTGTCAGCCTCTTACATGTATGCTTCTCGTAAACAATTAGTCAATAATATGCATTAGGGCTGCCCTCGACTAAAGATTTTTCTGGTCGACTAGTCGTCGTTCATTTTAAGCATTAGTTGACTATTAGTTGCACTTTTATTAATAAACCATATAAATCATTAATTGCCTACATAGTCTAATAAGCACTCAAGCGCACGCAAAAAAGGCTTGCCACAGCGCACCGGCAAATATAATAATTATGAAT